GTAGCCAAGGATTTCTAGATGTCTGAGGAAAGTCTTTATGATGAAGGGTCGACACCAAAATGAACACACATCAAAAAGTAAATTAGAGGAAATTGAGACTATGTAGGGAAAAAAGACAACAGTATACATCAAAATGGCTATCATTCAGACGATCCTTGAAGAAAAAAAGAAATGATATTGCAACCATAGAAAAAGAATAAGATGCTGTTAAAGGGGTGGTGAGAGAACAAAATAGAGCTCTTGGAGATTAAAAATATGGTAGAAATGGAAAACTGTAGAAGGGTTAGGAAATAACGGTCATGAAGTCGCATAGAAGGCAAAGCAAAAAGAAAAACAGAAACTAGGAGAGAAAAAGATTTTTCAAAATTAGAGGACCAGTCCAGGAGATCTAGTCTCTTTTTTTCTAGATCCATAAAGAAAGGGCAGAGCGAACAGAGGGGAGGAAATGATCACTGGAAGTATTCAAGAAAATTGATCAGAACTGAAGTTTCCTTTGAGTTTTCTGCTTTGGGTTGGCGGGGGCGGGGGGAGATGCCCTACTGAAAATGTTCAGCCCAGTGGAGGAAAGTAGACCCACCCGCGGGCACAGCATTGAGAAAGTTCAGAGCGTTACTGAAGCACCCAAGTTCGGCTGCCCATTGCTCCAAAAGCCAGTAACTCAAGAGACGAGGTGTTTTTTGTTTTTTTTTTTTTAAATTAATTAATTTATTTGACAGACAGAGATCACAAGTAGGCAGAGAGGCTGGCAGAGAGAGAGGGGGGAAGCAGGCTCCCCGCCGAGCAGAGAGCCCAATGCGGGGCTCGATCCTGGACCCCAGAATCATGACCTGAGCCGAAAGCAGAGGCTTTAACCTACTGAGCCACCCAGGCACCCCATGAGACAAGTTTTGATTGGGAAGGAATATGAGCTTTATTCAGCGGGCCGGCTGTCTGGGGAGAAGGCAGACTCTTGTCCAAAAACCAACTCCGATCTATCTGCCTGAAGGTTTTTAGAGGAACTTTAGGGCAGTTAATCAGTAAAAGGGGGGCACAGTGCTGTTTAACCCTTCTTGATGGCGGTCAGACTCAGTGGTGCCGGCTACAGACATTATCCTGGTGCTCAGAGGCTGTGTATTGTGCCCTGGGGGTGTGGTGGGGGGGTGGGGAGGTTGTGCAAGTGGGTTTCTTACCAAGGCTTTCGAGGAAACAATGCAATGCCTAATCTATAGATACACAAAGAAAGGTTTAGTTAATCAATCATGTGGGCTATAAGTGCTTGCTCAAACTTTAAGACGACTAGTTGGCCTAATGGGCTGAGACAGGAGTTTCAGGAGCCTGGAGAGCCAGAGGGGCCTATAAGTTTCTGGAGTGAGAACGACTGTCACATCCAAGGAAAGGATTAAGAAACACAGTGACTTCAGGGTTTTGAAATAGCAACCCTGGAAGGTAGAAGATACCGCAGCAATGCTCTCAAAATTCTGAAGGAAAATGATTTCCAACCCCAAACCCGAAATCCAGCCAAACAATCAATGAAGTGCCAATTTTTTAATCCGAGAAGGGACTTTGTTTGGTCAGGAGGTGTGGTATTCAGTAAGATGGCGGCTCCAAGGAGACCACGTGGGTGGGAGCCCCAAGGAAGCAGTTTCCTGAAACTGAGGTAAACCTGAGGAGGGAGAAGTCTCTTTGGAGTTGACTCCTTTGGAGAATATGCTAGGTCAGCAAGCAAAATGAAACAAAACACATTTCTAGTAGCCCTGCTAAAGTAAACAGAACAGGTGAAATTAAATTTTGTTGTTTATTTAACCCACAATGTAAAAATATTCTTTTAACATGTAATCAATGTTAATTATATCGAAGTATTTTACTTTGTTTTTTATTCAAGGCCTTCAAAAATCCATGTAGTGTATTTTATACTCACAGGACATTTCAGTTTGGATCCGTCACTGGTGGTCAGTGGCTCCCTTCGTTGGACAGCGCAGTGCTAGGAAAGTCAGAAATGCTAAGAAAAAGGCAGCAATGGGGTTCCAGTGAAAACTAGGTTAATAAGAGTTCTTTCTCTTTCTGAAGCACTGGTCTTGGCTCCAGGAAGTGGAGCAACTGGAAGGGTTATTTAGATAGAGTTGGCTACTTAATTGGTGGTCAAAGTAGAAAGTCAAGAGAACGAGTGCATTTTGTCTGTTAGTGGGAGATCCATGAACCTAGCAACTTCGGAAGACGAGTGGGATGGAACACTTAGTTCTCTTAGCAATGACCAAGAGTAGATTGAATACGAATAGGGAAGTGCATGAAATGACAAGAAAGAAAATGGGGTTTTAGTTAGACTTGGAGTTGGCAGGGAGCCGTAACTCAACTCTGTAAGGGCCCGTTTAGCCGGAGCGGCTCCATCTTGGTTGAACAGCCATTTTGTTGTTTATGCAGTAAAACTTAAACTGACCCTGCCCCCCCCACCAGGGGACTTACTTAAAAGCAAGTCCGGGAAACTAGTAAAATATGGTAACAGAGCCCAAACACAAGGGCGGGTCAGGCCAGGTGGAGACATCCAACCGTGGAGCGCGCATACTGTCTCCCTAGCTACCAAGGAGTGTGGGCCCCGCCTTTTGGGCGCCAGTTCTGACCAAGGTGATAGGCTAGTTCAAATATCTACCATAGGGTGAATTGTAATTTGGTTAGCCACCCGTGTGTGACCTAGCATGACTGTGTAGCTTTCTCTGTGTGTTACAATCTCATTGGCTACCTGTGTGTGGCCAGGCTCAGCCACATGGCCTTTGCCCTTTAAAAGTTAGTCTGTAAGGCTGGGGAGGGTCGCTCTTTCTGTAAGAGGCGGCCACGAACGGTTGGTTTGATTCCCGATGCTTGGCGCGAAATAAAGCTTTGCTTGACCTTCGCTTTGTATCAGTCTTGCTCCTTTGATCATGGACCTAACAACTCCACATTTCAAAAATGCTGTAACCCTGTAGAGCGGAGCTGAACTTTGAACAAAGGGAGTGGAAATGGAAGTCAGTATTAGAAAGAAATCAAGAAAGAATGAGACAGAGAGATCTGCTTGTTGCACCACAGATGGGGTCCTAACAGGATGGTTTCATTTTTCTCATGCCTTAGGAGTCCTCATGGCCAACTGTGTGCCCGAGGGGAGAGGGGCCTCCGTGTTGTAAATGAGATGGAGGTTGGTGGGGTCATTCCCCCATGCATCCTCTAAAGAAACCCATAATCTGGAACCTTATGTTACCTCCTCTTCTTTGGTCTGATTTTCTGATTAACACACACACACACACACACACACACACACACACGCTATTGGTAAAATTCATGTTGTGCAAAAATATAGAGAATCGAAATCCTCAGTTAAATTCCCTTTCCTTAAATAGCTGCTGTCATCTGTGGTCATATGTCCTTCCAAAAAATTCCTATGTGTGTATAAGCCTATTTTCAAAAGAAAATGTATATTATACTTTCCATATCGTTCTACAGCTGGCTCTTTTTACTTAACTGTCGTGGATATCTTTGCATACTGCTAGAAATTACACCATTCTTTCTATAGGCTACAAAATATTTTCTTTCTTTCTTTCTTTTTTTAAAAAATATTTTATTTACTTATTTGAGAGAGAGACAGAGAGAGCTTGAGTGGGGGAGAGGGAGAAACAGACACCCTGTTGAGTGGGGAGTCCAGACTCGTGACTCGGTCCCGGAACCCAGGGATCATGAACTGAGCCGAAGGCAGACAGACACTTAACCGACTGAGTCGCCCAGGCGCACCCCCCAATTTTTTCTTATGTTGTTGTCTCGTAAGCTCTTAAACAGGTGGGCGTTAGTGAGGGTTAATACGTGTGTAGGAATGTTTCCATGCTTCTGCTAATAGAGTCAGTGCTGTAATAATCATCCAAATGTAGATTTCTCTGAGTACTTTCTGCAGGGAGTTCCTGAAGGTTGGGTCAGAGGGGAGGCATTTTTAAGTTTGTGATAAACCTTACCGAGTCGCCTTTTATTTTATTTTTAAATTTTATTTAATTTTTTTTAAAGTTTTTTTTTTTTTTAATTTGACAGACAGAGATCACATATAGGCAGAGAGGCAGGCAGAGAGAGAGGGGGAAGCAGACGCCCTGCCGAGCAGAGAGCCCAATGTGGGGCTCGATCCCAGGACCCCGGGATCATGACCTGAGCCAAAGGCAGAGGCTTTAACCCACTGAGCCACCCAGGTGCCCCCCAAATTGCCTTTTAGACAGGTTGTTATACTTCACATCCCCAGCTGTGGTGTGGTGTGAATAGTTGGGTACCCAAACCTGATGTTATCAACTCTTTATTTATTTATTTATTTGAGATTTTATTTATTTGTTGGAGAGAGAGAGATAGCACGCAAGTGGAGGCAGTGGCAGGCAGAGGGAGAAGCAGGCTCCCCTCTGAGCAAGGAGCCCGATGAGGGACTCGATTCCAGGACTCTGGGATCATGTCCCGAGCTGAAGGCAGACACTTAACTGACTGAGAAAACCTAGGCATCCCATTATCAACCTTTTAAATCTTTTCTCGTCTGGTATGGAGAATAATGATACCTTACAGCCTTCTCAATTGCATTTCTTGTGTTCTATGTGAAGTTGAACGTATTTTCAAATGTCTGTTTGCCTGTTGTTTTTCTCCTGTAAATTGCCTGTCCACATCCTTTGCCAGTTTTTCTAATTGTTATTTTGTCTTTTTTGTGTTGGTTTGAAAGAGCCTGTTCTCTTTTCTAGATGGCAACGTTTTGTCAAGTATCTTTTATGAGTTTATCCCTTGAATCAAGGAGAAGAGTTTTAAATTTTAAGAAGTAAAGTCTCTCAATCTTTTTATTATTTTTTTTTCTAGCTTTGGTCTTATTCTAAGAGGGGTTTTCTCCTGCATTTACTTATACTGTTTTTATGATTGTGTTTTTTAATATTGAAATTTTTATCCATATGAGATGTATTTTCATATATAGTATGATGCACTATGGAAACTCTATAGAATCCACATACTAGAAATAACTTTAGCTTCTCTACTTTCTCCCATCACAGGGAAGCACTTGGCGAATATTTAGATGGGAAGAAAGAGAGTGAGGAAGATCAAAGCAAGAGCTACAAGCAGAAAGAAGAAAGCAGACTGGTATGAGCTGGGTGGCATATGGGTCCTATCAGCTAGTGACACTAGGGAGTTGGGTGTGATGTCATGGTTTTCATACTTAGACCAGAAGAATCTCAAAAGGGATTGCGTGTTCCTGCCTTTAGTTAGGCAGAAACGAATTTGAATCTTTCCCATTTTGAGAGCTCTCTAGGAGTGAGCTTTCATTTCATCCTGTGAGCTGTTCATTAGTGCAAGTCAAGATGTTTACGCTGCCCATTCAAGGCCTTCTGTTTCCGTCCTAATGTCAGTCTTCTCTCCCGCCGATACCCACCTTGGGCCTTCATTCTGGCTTGGCCAATCCGCTCACTCACCTCCAGTGGGGACTCTGCTCGTCCTGTTCTTCCGGGATGCCAGTCCCTCCCTTACCCTCCTCCCCACTGTCCTCTACCTCCGTCTTCTCTCCTCTCATCAGGATGCCTTTCCATACGTCAAGACCATCTCAAGTCCCAACTCGAGAAGACTGCAAGTCCATGATTTCTCCGCAGCCCAGCCTCCTTTAATTCACACATTCTCTGTGCCATGTGTTTCATTTTAGACCGTTTTCTCCCTTGTAGGACTTCCAATGTGTGTGCCTGCAGTGTCCCCAGCAGAGCTGTAAGCTCCGTGAGAGCGAGAGCCTCTGCGTATACCTGTGGAGTAGTGCAGGGCTTGTACTCAATAACCACTAAAAAGAAAGTCATCACTTGCTGTCCCATGGCAATGCCAGGGCTCCTGGGATGTTTAATAAAGGACTTGGAACAATAGGTGCAGGAAGAATGAACAACACTCCCAAACAGCAAGCAGGACTGGCAAAGTGCTGCATTTAATTAACTGTTAAATGAATATCGTAGGGCAGCGGGATGGTAGGAATTGAGGGAAAGAAGAGGGCTGCCCAAGCGGGCCTGATGGGGAAAGTGGGATTTGAGCTGCATCTTGGAAAAATAGGTGGGACTTATAAAAGCACAGAGGAGAGAGAGCATTTCTGGCAGAAGTTGAAGTATACTTACTGTGAGAAAAAAAATACTCAAGTTACTGAAATGTCATTATAGAGCAAAGAGATCTACAGAGACACCTGAGTGAACTGTATGGTACTGGGTCAAGGATAAGATACCTTATGGTGGTGGGAAGAACACTGAGCTGTGGTGTGTTCTTGGTCCCCATCTGGTGCTCACTGTGACGTTGATGTGTCCTGCCTCCTGTCTGTACTGGGGTCACTTCGTCAAAGTGTCGATCATCTCTGAGCATGGCTGGGTAGGATCAAAAGGATATTGTATATAATCTGGAACCTCCTGATATAGTTTATACTGCTATGGTCTTGAAAATACTGATACAGAGTTCATCTGGAGCACTCTTTGAGTGTGAACCTGAAGAGATAATGTTGTTTTCATTAGTAGCTTTTCTTTTTTTTTTTTTTTAAGATTTTATTTATTTATTTGACAGAAAGAGATCACAATTAGGCAGAGAGGCAGGCAGAGAGAGAGGAAGGGAAGCAGGCTCCACTGAGCAGAGAGCCTGATGCGAGGCTCGATCCCAGGACCCTGGGATTATGAACTGAGCCAAAGGCAGAGGCTTTAACCCATTGAGCCACTCAGGCGCCCCATCATTAGCAGCTTTTCAAGCTTCCTTTCACTTATGACTTAAGTCATGTAAAGTGTTGGCATAGAAAAGAAATGTATAAAATGTATAACAACCAAATGCTGCCTTCCTTAATATCGAGATATTAATAACTGGTTCTACCATAAGACTTGGACAGGAAGGGCCACTGTCCTTGGCCCTATCCCTTATCAATCATTTTTACTTGGTGATTCTTTTGTTTCCTATTTAATCTTGCTCCAGTTTTATAAAGATATTCTTCCAAGTTTTCTCTTAGAAGCTTTATTTTTGTATCATGTACGTTTTGGTCTGTAGTCTATCTTGAATTGATTTTTGTGGCTGGTGTAAAGGTAAGGTTCAAGGTTGCTGTGTTGTATATGGATTTGTAATTGACCCAGCACCATTTATTGGAAGGATCATCCTTTCCCCCACTGCACTGCAATACACCTTTGTTGTGAGTCAGGTGATCACATATGTGGATTTGTTTCTGGATTGTCTGTTCTGTTTTATTGGTCTATTTGTTTGACTTTACACCAGTTCTACACTATTTTAACTACTGTAGCCTTATGACAGGTCTTGACATCTAGTGGAATAGGTCCTCTAAGTTTGTGATTCTTCAAATTGTCTTGGCTATCCTTGACCTTTTTCATATCCATATACATTTTACAATCAGTTTGTCAGTTTCCACCAAAAAACCTGCTGGGATTTTTAAAAGTTTTATTTATATATTTTAGAGAGAGAGCTGTGGTGTGTGTGTGAGGAGGGGGTTGGGGGGAAGGGGAAGGGGAGGGAGAAAGTCCTGAAGCAGACTCCCCCTGAGTGTGGAGCCTGATGTGTGGGGCTCAATCCCAGGACCCTGAGATCATGACCTGAACTGAAATCAAGAGTCAGCCACTTAACCCACGAGCCACCCAGGTGTCCCCTGCTGGGACTTTAATTGAAGTCAGATTGAACCTATAGATCAATTTAGGAAAGAATTAATATCTTACCAACGATGAGATTTACAATCCATGAGTATAAAATATCCCTCCACTTAAAATTAAAGGTGTTCTTTAATTTTGTCAACAATGTCTTATGCTGAATTGTGTAAGACTGATGATTCACAGACCTGTAGCCCTGGAACAAATAATACAAACAAAACAAAGCAAAAACGAAAACAATGTCTTATACTTTGTGTTGAGGCGCTAAGTGTTTTTTGCTGCTATATAAAAGTACAATTGGTTTTTTGTATAGTGACCTGATATTCAGCAACTTTGTCTTGTCAATTCTAATAGTATCCCATGGTCTCTGTTTGTGTGTTTATTTTTTTTTTTACATATGTAATCATATCTGAAAATGACAGCTTTCTCTTTTCCTGTGTCTGTTGGTCTGTTGGTGACTGTAACATTTTCAGTTTTACTTTGAGTCTGAAATACTTGATTCAGAAATTTCTGATGTTTGCATTGTCTGAGCAGAAAATAGAAAACTGTTCAAAAACTACTGGAAAGCCTTTACTTCCTTAGGCATGTAAAACCATTTGGTACAAGTGCTACAACTGTAGCCATTTTTTAAAAATTCTGGCATACCTCTGGATATCGGGGTTAAGGCTCCCATTCTGTATTCTTTAAAACTGCATTTCTAAGTGTCTTTAGGAGGGTGAGATGAAATGGAATCTCTGATTGTTTCAGTGACTCCTTCATATGGAGAAGCTTATAGGTTCTTTGTTCAGAAATAGTCCAAGAGCCGGAGAATTTGTAAGTTCCAAAACAGACTTAGAAAAATGTAGGCACAGCCTAAGGGTACCTGAATTTTTGGTTGAAATCCTGTCATTGCCCAAAGGTCGGAAGTGAAGACACTGATGTGGAATTCAAGGAGGGATTTATTTATTTATTTACTTACTTATTTATTCAAGATTTTTATTTATTTGAGAGAGAAAGAGAGCAGGAGCATGAGCACATGAGGTGGGGGAGTGCAGAGGGGGAAGAAGACTCTCTACTGAGCAGAGAGCCTGATGTGGGGCTCGATCCCAGGACCCCACGATCCTGACCTGAGCCGAAGGCAGATGCTTAACCGACTGAGCCACCCAGGCACCCCCAAAGAGGGATTTAGAAGGGGGCACCAATAGCAAAATTTTTGAGCCACTAAGGGAGGCAGCGGTGGAGCCCAAGTGTCTGGAACAGAAGACGCCATGTAACAGTAGCTTAAACAACATAGAAGCTTATTCCTCTGGCTTCCTTAGTAGTTCAGAGCATCAGGACACTGTCCAGGGCTGATGCGGCAGCTCCTCGATGTCGGGGACCTCATCTCCTTCTGCCATTCCTTCGGTGGCTGCATGTGCTCACTGTGTCATACCAGAGCACCACACACTGGCCCCGGAGAAGGGGGGGATGCGGCAGCAGAGGACAGGCTTTTTCCCTTCAACGTATGAGTCAGAAGGGGCACACATCACTTCTGCTCAGGTTCTGTGGATCAGACTGTATTCTAGCTGCCAAGGAGTTTGGGAAGTGTATCCATCTTGGTAGGTCCAATGTCCAGCTAAAATCGGGGGTCCTGTTACTTGGAGAGGAGGAGGGAATGGATGTGGGAGGATGATCGCTATTGTCTCTACCTCACCTCTCCCACTGAATTCTCAGAAAAGCGCCTGGTGGTGTCAGTCACTTGGAGGGTCTACGGGGCAAGTGCTGAGATGTGCCTAGGGTATCTGCCAGTGTGCTAGCCAGCTGATCCCTAGTCTAACGAGAATAAGCCAAAGTACCTCCAGAATCACACGTGCTATTAAATCGTAAGCTCTGATATCACATCCCCAATATCCTGATGGAAAGGGATTGCCAAGTACATGCTACTCTTAAGGGTCTTAAGGTTGCTTTGGATTCCCGCTTGGCTGGATAGAACAGCTATAGACAGCTGTGCAAAAGGTTTCTAACTTCATAAATTCTTTTTTTATTTTTTTAAGATTTTATTTATTTCAGAGAGAGAGAGAGTGGTGAGAGAGACCATGAATGGGGGGTTGGGGAGAGAGAGAGGCAGGCTCCCCCGCTGAGCAGGGATTCCGAAGTGATGTGGGTCTCGATCTCAGGACCCCGGGATCAGGACCTGAGCAGAAGGCAGATGCTTCACCGACTGAGCCACCCAGGCACCCCTCTAACTTCATAAATACTTCTTTTTCAGAAATTGAATAAACTGCTGCTCTGTGGCACTGAGTTGGTGACAAATATCCAGGTGGCTACAGATATCAGAGAGATCCACAGGAGAGTGGAAGAAGAGGAGATCAAGCGTCAGAGGTGAGGAACCCCCACTCTGCAGCGTGGACATGAGGACGTCTCTTCTATGGGTCCCCAAATTCTCCCCAACCGTTGGAAAGTGGCTGTGTCAGAGTCAGTCCAGCAGAATCCCCTTAATGCCCTTTAGGAATGAATCTCCTCCTTCCCTCCCTGCTTTCCTCCTTTCTTCCCCCTTCCTCCACGTGGCCATTTTAGCTCATCTCCTCAAGAGCATGGGGTTAACAATATTTTTAGTTGTTCAGCGTAAGGAATTCCTTCAGCACCTTTACTAGCTTTACCAGTATGCAACTGGTGATTTTATTCTTGTGACTTCCCACGGTCTGCCTTGGGCTGTACCTAGCACAGAATTGGCTGATTTCCCAGCCACGCTAAGGAGGTAGGCTGTTTCCTATGACCATGGAGGAAAAACTGGAAGGTCTTCAGTGGCAGACGTATAGGATAAATTGGCAAGATGATCTGGCTGTTGTTTTTCATTTTTTGAGGCCAAAAGTCAAGTGAATTAATGTGCTCTGTGCTCTAGCTCGGAAGGGAGGCAAGAAGGAGAGAGGGGAGTGTGAGTTTAAGTTGTGACTCCTGTCCTGTAGGGGTTGGCACTCTTGTCGGGAGGCAGCCTCCTACAATGACAGTCTGTGAAGGTAGGGAGAGAGTCCTGGCATATGTCCTAGTGGCCGTTCTTAGGGGGGACCTTATCTCTCCTCACGCTTCTCTTCAGGCTGGTTCCCTCCTCGGTACACTTCATCACAGAGTCTCTTTTGGAATTTCTGGAAAGGCCATGCCGATTTTCCATTCCTTAATGGTGGAGTTTCCCTATTTTCATGGCTCCCTGTATTTTTTTTTTAAATTTTTATCTATTTTTAAAAATTTCTTTTCAGTGTTCCAGAATTCATTGTTTATGCACCACACCCAGTGCTCCATGCAATACGTGCCCTCCATAATACCCACCACCAGGTTCACCCAATCCCCCACCCTCTGCCCCTCCAAAATCCTCAGTTTGTTTCTCAGAGTCCACAGTCTCTCATGGTTCGTCTCCCCCTCTGATTTCCCCCAACTCACTTCTCTCCATCTCCCCATGTCCTCTGTGTTATTCCTTATGCTCCACAAATAAGCAAAACCATATGATAATTGACTTTGCTTGACTTATTTCACTCAGCATAATCTCTTCCAGTCCCGTCCATGTTGATACAAAAGTTGGATATTCATCCTTTCTGATGGAGGTGTAATAATCCATAGTATATATCGTATGGCCCCCTGTATTTGCTGATGATTTGGGAGAGGAACGGCCACACACCTGAAGTCATGTTGATAACCAGAAACAATAATATGGGTACCCTTTGTTGAGTGACTGCTGTGCCAAGCGTCATCTCACCTAACCCCGGGAGGAGCCGTGGGAAAGTAGGTGCTTTCATCCTCCCTCTTATAGAGGAGAAAAATGCAGTTTGCTGGGGGTCAGGGACTTGTCTCAAGTTGAGAGTCTGTTAGTGGCAAAGTCAGGCCTTGGTCACTGGAGTCGTACAGCTTGTTGCGGAAGTATGTGACAGACTGTTGATCTGCACACGTGTGTGCGTGTGTAAGTAGGTATAGCTTTAAGGTCCATCTGCTTTGGTTATGGATCACCTTGTTCATCTGTCTCCTTGCTTCCAAGCACTGCTTAAGCTAAAAGAAGATTCCTCAGAGGCTGGTTTGGTTTTGAGCGGGGGGTGTGTGGGAGCAGTGCTTGAGGCCCGGGCTTGGTATTTCAGACTCTCGAGAACCGGCCTGCTTCAGCAGGAGATGGCTTCCCCAGCTGGGCTGGCATGGCCACTGTGTTTGTATCCACAGACTCGAGAAGCTGGAGAACGAAGTCAAGACCAGCCAGGACAAATTTGATGAAATCACTGCAAAGTGGGAGGAGGGCAAACAGAAGAGAATTCCCCAGGACCTGTGGGAAATGCTCAACACCCAGCAGGTGCACTGTGCCGGGCTGATCGAGGACAAGAACAAGCTGATCAGCGAGTTACAGCAGGCGAGACTCCTGGCCCCGACCCTGCCGCATGGGCTCAGGCTGGGGGATTTGACTGGCTTATTGGTTTGCTCTTCCTGAATGGAAAAATGGGGAGGCGTCACTTCACGACTCAGATTATTGCACAACTCAGGCAATAAATTCAACCAGAAGGAAGAGCTTTGGAGAAATCTGAGAATTATTGGTGACCTTAGAAAGCATGCTCGTAGCCAATGCTGTGTCAGATTTTATGTTTTCAGTTAAGGAACAGCACATAGTCTGCAGTGGATAGAGTCCCGTGTTGGATCCTGGATCGCCATTGCTCCGCTGGGGGGCCGTAAGCTGCCTGGGAGCTTATAAAGAGGTTTACAGCAAGTAGTCATGGAGGGTTTGATCGCCGGCTGCTATGTCCGGCTTTGCCCCTAGCTGAGGCCACTGTGCTCCATCCGCCTGTGCCTTCTCCCGGGCGTCCTCAGATTCTTCCGAAATGACTTTCTCTGTGTATAGCTATGTATTCCTAGCATTCACAGATACTGAAGAGTGAGGTCCTGGGAGAGTGCGCTTGGCACCTCTTCCCTCGGTCTTATTTGATGACCAACTTTCCGTTGCTCTTCTCTAGGAGTTGAAAACAAAAGATGACCAGTATGTGAAGGATTTGAAGAAGCAGTCAGATGACATCTGCCTGCTGCTGGAGAGAATGGAAGAACAAGTGAAGCACGTGATGAAAACTTTCCGTCAGGAGCTGAATTACATTGAGGTAACGGTGTGGTAGATCTGCCTTCTGCCCCGGGGGCGGCCCCTGAGGAGGGCCAGGTCGGCCCTGACTGACCCAGGTGTCTCGTCCTATGATGTCAGCCCCTTCATTTGTTTACCCATTCATGCACTCGCCCAACAACTATTCATTAAACACCTACTATGTGCCAGACACCGTCCCGGGGGCTGTGGATACAGCTATGAACTAAACAAAGTCCTCGATGAGATCTGTATTCTAGTAGGAGACAGCTAGACAATAAACAGATAAAACTACTAAATATATAGTTGGACAGATGGTAATAAGTGCTCTGCAAGAAAATAAAACCATGGAGGGATAAGAAGAGTGGAGGAGGGGGGTATGTGAGCTGTTTATTTGTTGTATTTATGGCAGCTGCGGGTGGGAGCATGGCAAAACAGGTTCAGAATCAATACTTTAAATTCGAATGAAATGTTAAGGCTTGACATTGAGACTGGCCTTTCCAGAATGGAAGAGAGCCAAGAGGGTTCCCACCGTCTTGGATTATTATAGACTCCTTTCTGCATTCCTTGGCCTACCTCTTGTGAGCAACGAGCAACGCATTCCTTTGTTTCGTGGGAACCCCAACCATGCAGCGGCTCTCGGCATGATTGAAGCGCATGCCAGGGCTTGCCCCGTCACTTCACCAGGGCCCTGGCCTTCCTCCACCTCCCTCCTCTGATGTTGGCTGAGCCACAGGGCGCTTTGCACATTTCCTCTCAAAATTTGTGGGAAGTCCAGACTTCATAACACTAATTTCCACACAACTCCTTCTGTAGCCCTTTGGTTGTATGAAACTTGGCAAGGTTGCATTTGGATTTGACTCGGACTGTCCAGTTGGTACATGGGCCCTTGTGCAATTACTTATGAGTTTTTTCCTACTGTGGAACCTGCCCAATCAAAACAGACACTAGAGCCCTCTTCTTTCTTGGTTGTAGAAAGCATTCGAGGTAGAACGACAAGAAATGCTGGCCAGTAATAAGAAGAAATGGGAGCGGGCCCTGCAGGCTCACAATGCTAAAGAGGTGAAGGGGCAATGGGTGCGGAAGGGGTGGGGGAGGGGGAGCGGGTGGGGAGGATGTGTCAGGGGTGCTCCATGGAATCTGGGGTCATATCTGCTGTGACTGAACTCGCTAACCTTTATGTATCTTGGGGAGGATTGCCACGGCAGACATTTACTACTCCACTTCGTGGTTAGTCCCTGCTGCTCCTGGTGGTGACATTTGCTTCTGGTGGCAGTGAATACTACCTTCCTTTGCAGCTCGCTGGGGTTCCTGTGGTCCTGTCCCTCTCTTTTTTGTTCCCAGGCTTCTACCCCAGCCACGGATGTTTGTGACTCAGAAGATGTTTTAAAGGATATGGGGGGTGTCACTTTACTTCAGAGACATAAAGAACAAAGAAATAGCTTTACCAAGATCCAGTGGGGTTTTTTTGAGAAATACAAATGTCTGACCACGAGGCCCATGGCTAGTTTCCTAATGGAGCAACCCTCTTGGAGTTTTTCAAGTTAAGAGGCTCCCGAGTATGGTAAAGGATACAAAGCTTTGGGGCCTAGGAGCTTCTGAGGGCTGACTGACTCCCTCCAGTCTCCTGACACTTGGAGACCCTTCACTGGTCATGCTGGTCAGGCCACCGGAAGGACTGAGACAGGGCAGGGACAAGGCTGACTTTCCTCTTGTCTTCCTGTGCCTTCAGCTGGAGTATCTTATGAACCGCATCAAGAAGGTAGAGGACTACGAGAAGCAGCTGAACAAGCAGAGGGTGTGGGACTGGGAAGAGTACAACATGATCAAGATCAAGCTGGAGCATGATGTGCAGGTCTGACTTGTTGCTCGGCGTCTGGTGGCGGTTTTGTCCTTGGTGACTGCCCAGAACGTTCTAGAGTTAGTCCCTTCAATAGATACATATTCGTTATCTGCTTTCTTTCAAGCGATCATATCTGAAGGAACTCATGGACAAAATATATGGGGAAAAATTCTTTCTTTAATAAATCTTGGAGGGCTGCCAAGAGGCAAAGCAGGAAACCACGACCTGAGGAAGCATTGGGAGGATTATGACTTTAGCCAAGCAAAGGGAAGGTATCCCCAGGGCAAGCTAAGTGTGTCGGGGCCAAAGCAGAACAGCCACCATCTAGTGAGTGACCGGACACTTAAGGCACAGTGTCTCTGATCCTCATATTAACACAGAAGGGAGGAATCACTGAACACATTTTTATGCCAGGAAATAGGCTACTTACCTGGCAAATGGTAGGCCCTGGATTCAAACCAGCTCTGTCTGGCTCGGTAGCCTGCAATGTTCCTAATATTCCAAACAGCCTCTGGCTGATGGTTGGACATCGCAGTAAAGCAGATTCCGACTTGCCATCAGAAAGAACTAACTCACTCACTCCCTTCTTTCCTTCCTTCCTCCCTCCCTCCCTTTTTCTTTCTTTCTTTCTTTCTTTCTTCCTTTCTTTCTTTCTTTCTTTCTTTCTTTCTCTTTCTCTCTCTTTCTTTCTTTCTAGATTGATTTATTCGAGAGAGAGCGAGCTCTGGTGGGGCAGAGGGAGAGGGAGAGAATCCCAGGTGGACTCTGTGCTGAGCGTGGAGGCTGACTTGGGGCTCAGTCTCACAGCCCTGAGATCATAGCCTGAGCCAAAACCAAGAGTCAGACACTTAACAGACTGTGCCACCCAGGCGCCCCAGAAAGAACTTTCTAATAGGTAGAACTATTCAATGTAGAAAAGGGTCATCCCACAGAACAAAGAGTCTTCTATCTCATAAAGTATTCAAAGGCTGCCTGACTGTCTGTCTTCAATGTCGAGGAAGGATTCTCCCAGTGGAAGGTTAGATTTTCTGGATTGTGAAGTTCTTTCCAAGCCCAGGATTCTGTGCTTCGTTAGTTTAAAAAAACGCTCATCTCTAATTACATGTAGGTGTGATGTAATTAGCTCTTAATGTTTCAGCATAGGCTATTCACTTCAGTCTCTGTCTAGAAAAACTTGTTAGACTAAAGCTTTTGCACGTAGCCTGTGATGGAATTTCAGGACCTACTACTCTTGTGCTTTATGTGACAAGGTGGCATCAAAGCCTCTCCAGACTACAAATATTCTTACCGGTCTTGAGACTTTTCCTGGGCCTTTCTCATAGTAATGTCATGGAAATGAGAGTCACTGACAAAGAATGGTGGGCATCTGGGAAAGCAGTGCTGCGAATGTAGGGTGTATACATGGCACTTTTAGTGAAATTGGCTATTGTTAAGCTTTCTTTTGTTATTTTGGTTTTATGATAATTTATGGGACAAAAGTACATACCGCTGGCCTCAAACAGTGAAATAATGGAAACTCATGTTCTTTCATCTGTTGTTTTGTTTTTCCTTTTGTGTTGAGAGCACGTAACACAAGATCTACTCTCTTAACACATTTTTAAATATACAATAACAGCATTGTTACTCAAAGACCTTCTGTTGTAACTGTTAGATCACCAGAACCTATTCATCCCACATAACTGGAACCTTGTGACCTCCGCCCAACACCCCCCTCTTTCTCCTCCCCCAGGCTGTCTGTTTTAGATCCCACATACAAGTGAGACCATGCAGCATTTGTCTTTCTATGTCTGGCTTATTTCACTTAGTATAATGTCCTCTGTGTCCATCCCTTTGTTGCCAATGGTAGATTGTCTTTATTTAAGGCTGAGGACAATTTCGTGATATACCACATTTTCTTTCTCCATTAGTCCACTGAGGGACACTTAGGTTGTTTCTGTCTCTTGACTGTTGTGAATATGCTGCAATGAACATGGGAGGGCGGACATCTCTTCAAGTTGCAGATCTCTGTGCCTTTGGATCTGTAGCCAGAAGTGGGATTATTGGATCAAATGGTAGTTCTATTTTTTATCTTTTGAGGAATCTCCATACTCTTCCCAGAGTGGCTGCACCAGTTTGCATTCCCACCAGCGGTTTCCTTTTCCACATCCTTGCCAGCACCTGTTATCACTGGTTTTTTGACAATAGCTATCCTAAGAGGCATGAGGTGATATCTCATTGTAGCTTTGATTTGCATTTCCCTGAAAAGTAGTGACTTTTATAACTATTGGTCATTTGTATGTCTTCTAATTGGGTAGTTTATTATTATTATTATTATTAATTTTTGCCATTGAGTTGTAGGAGTAGAACCTCACATTCTTTTTTTTAAATTTTTTTTAAATTAAAAAAATTTATTTATTTATTTATTTATTTATTTTATTTGACTGACACAGATCACAAGTAGGCAGAGAGGCAGGCAGAGAGAGAGGAGGAAGCAGGCTCCCTGCCGAGCAGAGAGCCCAATGCGGGGCTCCATCCCAGGATCCTGGGAACATGACCTGAGCTGAAGGCAGAGGCTTTAACCCACTGAGCCACCCAGGCGCCCCAAACCTCACATTCTTAATTTAATCCTCAAATGCTTGAACACAGCCAAAAAATTCTGGGATGTGGGGAGATTTTTAGGGGTAGGAGGTGATGGAAGACTAGGGAGGTAAAGGACGGAGAGCCTGAGGAGCTGGGAGACCTCTGTCTCCTGGCTTCCCCTGTCCAGTTGGACTGCCACGGAACGTGGGTATGTGGGAGGCAGACAGATGGAGATACTCAGAGCAGGGAAGTGTGTGCAGTGCCTGTGTTAGGACGGAAACCAGGAGTATACTGTACCATATCACATTTTAACTTGAAACAGGTAAATCAGGGATTGCCATATTGCCGTATGCAGGGTATTTTTGTAGATAAAACTTGATCATAATGCCCCTTACGTGTACTTTCATTAGATAGTAAAGTCAAATAGCATCGATTTTGTGAGGAAGATACAGTATGCAGCTTAACATCAAATTTGGTCTTCCTAAGTAATTCATAGCACTGTATCAGCTCTGAAATATACAACTAAAATTTTTGCAAACCACAAAAATATGAAGGCTCCAAATACACAGATGTGATTTGATGGGTACAAGAAATAAAAAAGAGAATGAATACTTTCCAAGTGCTTACTGCCAGTAAGGTGACATTATTAATGAGCAGAACGAAGCCTGTAAACATTATGCCCTAGAGAGGGATTTTTACCACAGCCCCCCATCGCCCCCGCCCCAAATAACACTACTAGAAACACTTAGTTCTTGATGCAGGAAGCAATTTTTTTTTTTTTTTTACTTTGGGTCCTACTTGTGCTTTTAAAATTGTAAAATGGTTTAGTTCAACTTCAGGGACTGTTACCTTTAATACCAGAATATTAATCACAAAAAATCAAATCCAAGTTACTTATTTAACAAACACCGTGAACTTAACATTGTGCAAAACACAAAGATAAACAAGGCACAGGTCCCGAGAGCAGAGGTGAAGGGACCCAGTAGGTTCTCCAAGTCAGCCCACAGGACCAGGGGAAAGGCTGTTTTAAATTTCCATTCTTCTTGGGACAATGATGGCAGCTGGTTTTCCGGAGGTTGTGAGGCAGGAGCTGGCGTGGAAAGCAGCTGCGGGGAGGCTCATACCGATGCAGGAAGAGGGGGAAGGTGGGATCAACACCTGCAGCCCCCACTACACTGAAGGCCTTTCGTGGCAGGTTAGATTGTAATCTTTGTAAATTATTCACAAAAACCAAACACGATTTCACGGTTAGTCTTGGGAACATGAAGTACAGCTTTGCAACCGTATCTTTGCATAATTGAAGAATAAGGGCGGACAGTTAACAAAATCAATTACAATTTTAAAATATAAAACTATCTTCAATGTATGACAACCAAGGATGGCTGTGTGTTGAGACTAAAGCCTGAGATAATTAACAATAGAGTCACCAGGACCAAAATTATCTCAAGCAGGTTTGAAAACAAATAATGAGTCACATAATACAGGCAGCCGCTGGTGGCTCTGTTGGGTGAGACTACCAGACTGTTAGTTCGCAAGTTCATTGACAACACTGCCAGTAACTCCCAAGGGGCATCGTGACTGCGGAGGCCACGGGGGTCTTGGACCAGAGCTGGGGTGACAGAGCAGCTGATCTGGGATCCCTTAGAGATGGAAAGCCCACAGTGCGTGTTGCATTACTAGTCCTTCCATGTGTCAGTCTCCTAGGAACATATTCTAGCAAAGAGCAGGAGCAGGTGCGTTCCAGAAAAGAAAATGAAATCGGCTAATAAATAATTAACCAGGAGCGCAGGCAAAGAAATGCAAATTAGAACCGGCAGGTGACAGAGTTTCTTTGTTTGTTGTTTTGCCTATAAAATCAGCTCAGATGTGAGTTCTTTCAGGGCACAAAGGAAAAGACATGAACTGCTTACTAATTTAGCTCAGAGTTTTGTGAACCGTATTCAGCCAGGTGACGTATGTGTGGTGGTTTCACAAAACTCACAAAAAAAGTGAGTCAGTGATTTTTTTTTTTCCTTTCAAGATGTATTGTGCAGGAAAAATAGAGAGTGGGTTTCCGTTGTGAGTATTATCTAATGATTGGACTTCAGGGGTGAAATTTACATGAACACTCACTGCTAGAACTCACGTGCTCTCACTTCCTTATAATTGTAAAAACTGTCCTATGGCCAAAGTTTGGGAAATGCTGTCTTAGTGACAGGGGCTTATTGCAAAGCTATGAGAAAAAGGGGGTCCCGACAACCTCAGAGCAAACACCAGGCACTCGGGGTCTCAGCTCCTCACTGTTGTTCCAAATCAGAGCAAACCCAGAGAGCATTCATACCTTCCAGATTATCTCCTTCCAACGAGGAGCTTTTCTGCTGGACTTTGTACTGAGCGACCTCCTAGGTCGGTGGCCTTCTCCATGTCCAGGGCTGGTCACATGTGAAGCAGCTGGGCTGGTTTCATTTGGAACACTGGGGCACAAACCATTGCGAGATACCTACCAACAGTGGAGATTTAGAACTTTCTGGAATAGTTAAACAGGGTGCTCTTGACTGATTCTCTCGGTTATCCATGCCAATGCCTTTGTTCTCTGCATCACCTCCTGGCCGTTTACCGTCCTTGAGGATAGTCCAGAGCAGGGAGGGGACGCTGCCTGAATTCTCCATCTAAGCTGATTCCTTAGCAAGGCCCTGTAGCTGCGTGGAAGGGGATGGGGGAAGGAGGCTTGAAAGAGTGCCACATGTCACATGTCCCTGCTTGTCAACCTCTGATTACACTTATTTGCATCGTCTGTCCATCTGTTCCTGCATTTCCACTCAGGAAAGGCCGGAGCAAGCTTGCCTCTATTTGCCCTGTCTCTAGCCCTGTCCCGCTCTTGACAAAAAATTTTTTTTTTTACCCACAGTCAGCATGATCTGTCTTCTTCCCTTCCCTCTTTCCTCTCTTCCTTCCTTCCTTAGATTTATTATTTTAGAGAGAGAGAGAGAGAGAGAAAGAGAGAACATGAACGGGAAGAGCAGAGGGAGAGGAAGAGAGAATCCCAAGCAGACTCCATGCTGAGTGCAGAGCCTGACGTGGGGCTTGATCTCATGACCCTAAGATCACAATCGGAGCCGAAACCCAAGAGTCAGATGCTTAACTGACTGTGCCACCCAGGTGCCCCCAGAGTCATCTCTCTCTATTGCCAGGCTGCTCTGTCAGCCTCTTTTTTGAGCATTCCCTGCCTCACACCCGACACTGCTCGTGGTTTCCCCAAAGCACACCTCACTCCCCTTGCCTCTCTGGACCTCTGTCCCCTGAGGCGTCCCCATGAGTGACTCCTCCTCATTTTCCAGGTCTCAGACATGCTGGTGCCCACTGTTCAGGGATGCCTGCCTGGCCTTCAAGGCCACGAGCGTCCCAGGCTACCCTGTGCCTACCCCTCTCTTCTTGTCACTGGTGCTTGTCGATCTGTCCCTCTCCTAGATAGGGCAAGACTGTGGCTTTTTCAGCAGTGTTTTCTCAGCAGCACCTGGAAAAGGGTCGACATAGAGCAGGCCCTCAGATCAGTATTTGGTGAGTGAATGAATATAGATAATGGAAATCCAGAAAGAAAGGATGGTCATGTCTAGCGTCCTTTAAAATGAACACCGTCTGTTAAACACCAGCACTGCCGGTTGGAGGTCAGAGCGGAGACACCTCTGTGGAAACGAGAACTTGCGTTTCTGCTGGGGCGATGTGTATCTCCCCATGAGGGTCTGGTGCATAGCACCGGAGCGGGCCAGACTGGAAGGCTCTAAATGCCATCTCTCTCAGGCTGTAGGGACACAGGCTTTAAGCTTGCAGCAGAATGATGGATATTTTCTGTAAAGATTTTACTTATTTATTTGTGAGAGAGAGAGGCAGAGGGAGAGCAAGAGGGAGAGGGAGAAGCAGACTCCCCATTGAGCAGAGAGCCCGATGTGGGACTCCATCCCAGGACCCTGAGATCATGACCAGAGCTCAAGGCAGACACTTAACCAACTGAGCCACCCGGGCGCCCGAATGTTCGATATTTTTTCTGGTTGGCCTTTCATTTACCCCTAATGACAGATTTTCTAAGAATTCAGGGGCAGGCACTTGTCCCTCCGGTTCCTCTGACATGAATCAGGGACCCTCAGGTACGAGTGATGATAGCGGGGCCAGTGAGATCATGACTTTTTTAAACTTCAACGGTAGGTTCTTGAGCAGCAGCTTCAGCAGATGAAAGCAATTTACCAGCTAAACCAAGAGAAGCTGGAGTACAACTTCCAGGTGCTGAAGAAGAGGGACGAGGAGAGCACAGTGATTAAATCCCAGCAGAAGAGGAAGATTAATCGGTAAGCAGGCCTGCAGCCCACCAGCCCCTTCCGCTCGGACCATGGGGATGGGGACGCGCTCTTCTGTTCTAGAGGAGTGCGAGCTGGTGAAGATATGACACATCTTATTAAAAGAGTTTTTTTTTTTTTTTTAAGATTGTATTTTTCTATTTGACAGAGATCTCAAGTAGGCAGAGAGGCAGGCAGAGAGAGAGGGGGAAGCAGGCTCCCCGCTGAGCAGAGAGCCCGATTCGGGGCCCGATCCCAGGACCCTGAGATCATGACCTGAGCCAAAGGCAGAGGCTTTAACCCACTGAGCCACCCAAGTGCCCCCAAAAGAGGTCTTTTCTGGGAAAAAATAATGCTTTCTGCTGCCCCACCGCCTCCCCCATGAAAGAGTGTACAGCAAAAGTCCGTCTCCCACCCCCTGTTCTGTGTGGTTCCTCTTTCCCACCTCTGTAGTAATTGTTCATTTCTTTTGTTTCTTCTAGAATTTCTTTAACCACATACAAGCAAACACAGATAAATGCTCTCACCCCCGGCTCCCCCATCCCCCCACCCCGGTCTGTTCTTAGACCAAGCGATAGCATTCTTCTATACACACTGTTCGGTGTCTTGAATGTTTCCATAGCAGTTCATCAAGAGCTTTGACAGGATCTAATGTCCCTGTGGATGGACATTTAGATTGCTTCTAATCCTCCGCTCTTGCAGATGACACCAGGGCCAGTGCCCACGCCAGCGTCCCACTCTGCATTTGCGTAGAGCCGGCTGTAGAGTAAATTCTCCACTTGCTATTACAGAAGCAAGACTGTGCATTTTAGAGAAGTAGGAAGTACCACACGTGGAAGTAAGATAAAAACATAAAATCAGGGGCGCCTGGGGGCCTTAGTCAGTTCAGCGTCTGCCTTCGGCTCAGGTCATGATCCTAGGATCCTGGGATCGAGCCCCGAATCAGGCTCCCTGCTCAGTGGGAACCCTGCTTCTCCCTCTCCCACTCCCCCTGCTTGCACTTGCTTTCTCTCTCTCTCTCGGTGTCAAATAAATCAATAAAATCTTAAAACCCATAAAAACACCATATGCCTACCAGCAGAGATCAAGTGTGTAGTGTGTCTCTTTCTAGATCTCTCCTTTCTCTCTCCCTCTCTCCATCCATCTGTGACAGCCACAAATCTGTACACTTTGTGAGGTGCTCTCTGGGAAGGCTTCCTGAAGAAGTGAAATAATGAAGGGGGAGGGATGGGAATTGGTGAAAAGGAGTTAGGACTCCAGGGTGGATGGGGCCAGAGCCAGGAATGAAGGGCGGGGCTGAAGGCAAGGAAGTAGGAAGCCGAAAGTTCCACATTTGATGAAAGAGACTGCACTGTGGGAGGGGGAGGTTGGTAGGACGGGAGGTGGGCACAGGTATGTGAGGCAGATCTTGGGTTTGATCCCAAGGGCCGAAAGATGAGTGACCTCAACCCCACTGTCCCTTCCCTGGCTCTTCCCTCTGACTTCAAGCCTGCACAGTTTCCCTTACCCTGAAAAACCCTTCAGACAACCCTGCTGCTCCTACGTGAGGCCAACTCCTCCTCCTCTTGATCACGAGGCCATTTTCTTCTCACCACCAGCCCCGCACCTCACCTCCAACACTCCTAATTTGACCTCTGACCCCAGAACTGGACAGCCGCTTCCCTCTGTAGGTGATCAATGATGTCCTTCTAAGCAAACAACCACGGCTCTGCCTCAGGTCTCATCCTGTTGTTACTGGCACCGAATCTCAGAATCTTTCTTCTTTGGCTTTCATGACTCTAAAATATTTGCTCTTTTTTCTCAGTGTATTCCTAATTGGCTTCCTTTGGTGGTTCTGCTTTCTCTTGCCTGATAAGATATTCTAGAAAGCATCTCTTCCCTTTGCTTTATATTTTTATTCCAGCGACCCTCTATACCAGTCTCATGGCTTTGAATATGATCTTTTTTTTCAAAAAGTATTTTGTTTATTTGAGAAAGAGAACATGAGTCGGGGGTGGAGGGAGAGGGAGAAGCAGGCTCCCCACTGAGCAGGGATCCGACTCGGGACTTGATCCCAGGACGCTGAGATCATGACCTGAGCCTAAGGCAGACGCTTAACCGACTGAGCCACCCAGGTGCCCTGAATAATGACCTCTTTCTCGATGACTCCCAGCTACATATCCCTAAATCGACCTCACCTCCTCACTTTATCTGGGACTGCTGAAAGACATTTAAGCTTGGACAGTCGCTGTCACTGCCAGGAGACAAGTTTTGAAACCCGGCTTGCCTACCCTCCCAGTTTTCCCATCCTCCACCTCTGCTCCCTCCATCTCTAGCTTCCAGCCAGTCACGGAGGATGGGACGAGTTGGGGAGCCTCCCCTTACAGCCACCTGTCTACTTCCTGTCTTGATGCCTTGCCCCGACCTGCAGCATGCACCTTGAGTTGATTTTTGTTTTATTAGCTTCTGTGGTTAGATGACACATAGAAACCCCTTTACTAAGTGCTGCTGGGAAAAACACTTTGGGATGGCTACTTAATACATTCTTTTTTCTTAGTAAAATTTTTTTACATCTATATGTGGAAAGTCTCCTAGAATGTTGTAGTTAAGGAACTGAAATGGATATCACTTTTTATCAGATATCACTTTTTAACTTAGGCTTTTATCAGAGCCTAAGTTAAATGATTTTGCATTTTATTGAGGCTGGAAGCGTGAAGGGTGAATGTTTATGTGTTTAGGAACCCTATGCTTATTTCAGGATAATGCTTAAGACAGAAAATTTTATTTTTAGAATTTTTAAACTGAAAATATGTAGGCCTTCAGACTCTGTCTTCCTGTGTAAGTGGGGCACTGACATAAGACACCTCTTCACAGGTTTGAAGTCTGACATATGGTCCTGGGTCTAAAAGCTGAGACTGCCATGCATATTTCATGAGACAAGTTTCCATGCCCAGAGCTCTCAGAGCAGTGAGATGTGGAGCTGTGACATGCCTGGGCCCACAGGGCCATTGGCAGGCTATCACTGTCCCTCACTGTGCTGGAACTTTCGGCCACGCCCCTGGAGGGTAAGTTCCAGGCCTCAGCTCTGGGCTCCCCGGAATCCTGTGTAAAGTGTCCTCCACCGCGCTTTCATGCTCCGCTGTGATGAGTGTGTCTTTGCCTCTGGCTCGACTGATAGTACCTTCTGCGGGAACATATCCCTGTACTCTCGCTGTATTCAAACAGAGCCCTGGCAAGAGGCCGTCCATGTTTGATGAGTGAGGGAGGGAATGAATGAACAGTATTGGCTCTCTGAGGATAGAGGGCTCATAGCTCGTAGACTTGTGGTGTGAAGTTTTACTTTTTTCCCTTCTATTTTCCTTGTTTTAGACTGGAATTGAACATCCAGATCATGGTAGTGAAATAGTTGAGATCTGCCCTTTAAAGACGTGAGGTGGCGCTCCATAGAGACACGCTTGCAGACGGCGTGTTGGGGAGGATTGGGTCACGCTTCTGAGCAGGAGACGGTCCCTCCATGTGTCAGGGGCTCTGGATCATTGTGAAGGCGTTTAGTCCTGGACCATCCCCTTACCTCCCGTGGCCTTCCTTTCCCCGATCACAGTCGGGGCCACTGGGTGTTGGAATAAACGGGAGAGTTCTTTGCACCTGCATGGCTCTGGCCCTGGGGTCTGTAGTGCTTGTATAGTTGCTGAGAGGAATGGACACCACAGCTTCTGTTCAGCTGCGGATGAACTCTGTCCCCTCCGCCCCGCAGCCTGCACGATGCTCTCAACAATCTGAGAGCGAAATACAACAAACAGATCAAGCACTTTCAGGAGGAGAACCAGTCACTGACCTCTGACTACAAACGCTTTGTGACGCAGTTCAAGGAACTACAGAGAGCCATGAGGTATTTTAGGGACCTGGGTCCCAGGCACTTGTCCTAACTAGAGATGGGAGGCACAGAGTCCTTTGTGCTGTCTTCCCCGCCCCTTCCCTTGCATGTCACCTACCTTTTCTTGAGACGCGTGGGGACCGCATCCAGGCTGTCTGTCATAGGAGAGAGCTGGTGACCCAGATCGGGGAGGCACCACAGCTCTACCTCTGGGCTCACCCTCCTGCTCATGGAGGGGACCCAGGCCAGGCCCCGGGGTCCCCTGGCCATGCCGAGCAACTCTCCTTCACAGGCATTTTGCTCTTGTTGATGACAAGCAGTTTCGGGAGATTTGGCTGATGAACGAAGAGGAGGCAAAGGATCTGATCAGCAGAGCCTTTGCTGTAGACAGGATCGTTCATACCCACCACCTGGGGCTCCCCTGGACGGCACCAGACTTCTGGTTCCTGAGGAATGTGGGACCGATCTCTCAGCAGCCGCGGAAGTCTGCCGCGCAGATCTTAGAGGAGGTGCTGATGCAAGCAGGTGACTGGGACGGCATCCTAGAGCCCCAGAGCCCCCGAGCCTCAGGCCTGTCCCGACCATCCAGTCAACCCATTCATTTCAAAGACGAGCACGCTGAAGTCCAGAGAAAGGGAGGAGGTCTCGTAGCTGGAAGGCCCATCGTTGTGGCTACTAAGTCTCTAATTTAATTGACAGCTTTACCCTCTTCCCTGTATTATAATCTGGTAGTTCGATCTAGAAGCTCGATCAGATTCAGGTTCAGTTTGGTTTTGCTGAGTACATTGTCATGTACCTCCACTGGGAGAAACTAATGGCGGGTTGTCTCTCTCTCTTTGGGAGGTTGGTAGCCATTGGTAGTCATTGTCTAAGATCCATTCATTGCCTTAGGGGTTGCAAAATGGTGATATTCTACATTCTATCATATGTCTTCGTGTAGTAGCTGGAACACTTCTGGAAACAGAATCTTCCCCTCATCAGCCATATGTTACCCTGAGGCACAGTTCGTACAGGAAAAACAGATGCTGTTCTTTCTCTCTTTACTAGTTTTCACAGTAAATGGCTGGGTCTTTAGCATTTTCCAAAGGTGGCTGGTAACGTTTTATAAAATAAATATCATTGGCCACCTGGGTGGTGCCGTCGGTTAAGTGTCCGATTCTTGGTTTCTGTTCAGGTGGTGACCTCGGTTTGTGAGATCCAGCCCCACGTGGGACTCTGTGCTCAGCTTGGAGTCTGCTTGAGTTTCTCTCTCTTCCTTCCCCCATCCCTCCCCACCACACACACTCTCTCAAATATATAAATTAATTAATAAAAACATATCATTATGGACACATTGGATTTAAACAAATTTGATGTGTTTTGTTTTACTGCCCTTATTCTTACTGGTGCTCACGTTGTCCCATCCGGCCAGTGGGGGTCTATTCCTGTTGGCTTCTGGGTCCTTTTGATACAACCTCAGTAGTCATCAATAGCTTCCAGGCTTTCCAGAATGACCCAATTTCCAGTCTCACATTATAACATTCCTGCTTCAAGTTTGTAATCAGCAAGTTCTCAAGGTCAAGGCGGCCTAGCTCTTTTAAAGGGAATGGTATTTTGAAGCCATAGTCTGGGAGCTGGAGTGCACATTAGTTGGGATAGATCAATTTTTAGGGCTTCCTAATGGATGAGCATAGGGTGTAGAATTAGATTTTCACCATAAAATAAATCACTTGTTCCTTCCAACACTTCCTCATCATCGGGATGCCAGAATTTTTACTTAACCTTATCAAGGTACATCTCATTTCTCTTAACTTGAAAATCTTGGTGCACAGTGACTCCAAAATAATTATTTGTTGTTTTTCCCACAACCACAAAACAGTTGCAGAATAAGTATCTACTTGGCACTAACAAAATGATTATGAAAGATTGTTTGAACTTTTTTGAAGTTCTTTTTACTCTTAGGACACATTCCACTAGGGATGTACAGACAGATTGCGGTCTTTTATTTATTTTAAATTTTATTTTATTATTTATTTTTTTAAAAGATTTTGTTTGAGAGAGATAGAGAGCTGGGGGAGGGGCGGAGGGAGAGGGGACAAAGCAGAACCTGTACTGAGCGAGGAGCTGGACACTGGGCTCCATCTCACAACCCTGAGAACATGTCCGAAACCAAGAGTCAGATGCTTAACCGAGTCACACAACCACCACCCACCCCCACTGGTGTCTTTTATTTTATTTTTATTTTATTTTTTTTAAAAGATTTTATTTATTTATTTGAGAGCAAGAGTGATAGAGAGAGAGCACGGGCAGAGGGGAGGAGCAAAGGGAGAGGGAGAAGCAGACTTATCTGTGGAGCAGGGAGACTCACACGGGGCTGGATCCCAGGATCCTGGGATCATGACCTGAGCCAAAGGCAGACCCTTAACCGACCAAACCACCCAGGTGCCCTGGCTGGTGCCTTTTAAAGCCACTAAGAATTGTTTCTATTTGGTTATGTCACCAACCGAATACATACTTAGGTCTTTTTGTTTTGTTTTACTTTTGTTGTTAGGGATTGCTTTTTACAATTTAATTTTGTTTTTATAGTTATGTAAAATAGTTCCATCCTTCCGAAGTCAAATGTACAAAACAAGGTATACTGGAGGAAATGTAGTCTTACCCTCCCCACTCTATTTTTATCCTTTTCCTGTAGGTAACTATCTGAAAATGTATGGTTTATTTTTCCATTGCTTTTACAAACAAATGTGTATATATATTTGTTTTTATTTATACAGACCTGCTTTCCTAATGAAAAGCATATGTTTTTCTCCATCTTGCCTTTTTCACTTACGAAGTATCCTGGAGGTCAGTCTATAGTAGTAAGAGGGCACGTTTTTCATGTGTTTTTGTTCGGTGTTCCTTTGTGTGGCCACACTATAACTTACTCAGATATGGTCTGTTGGTGGCCACTTGGAATATTTCCAGGTTTTGGTCTGTTTGTTTTTGCTCTTATAAACATTGCTGCAATAAATAGCTGGGTGCGTTTGTGTCTGCATATTTTTCCCGGTGAATTTTTGGGATAGATCCTTAAAGGTAGGACTGCTGGATCAAAGGGTAAAGGCCTCTGTAATTCGGCTGGATCTTGCTCCATACCGACGGGACCATTTTGCACTTCCACCAGCAAGATGTGTCTTATACTTTTCAAGATATCATTTATATTGTCTCCTTTTATCTTTCGAACAACTGGTAAAACCTGGTAGGGCAATTTTTTAGGACTATTTCCAGATGAGGGTTATACAGTATAAATCATTTTTAAATTTCTAATTTTAATTAAGAAAATGTTTGGCTCTTGCTATTAGCTACCAGTTCTTGCTAAGAAGTGAGGCTGTTCCCCGGACCGTGGTTTCGTCGGCAGCTTCTGATCTGTGGCCGGTTCAGAAACCACCTAGCAGATGTGCTAGATTATTCTGTAATGTGAGAATAAACAGGTTCGAACTCTCCCTTCCACTTCCTGGTCATGGCGGGATTTTGAGTATGATGTTGGCATAGAGATGAAATCTAGAACAGCAAAGCATTGTAGGATGGCAGAATTCTCCTGCTACTCTCATATTAAACCAACCCCCAGCCTCCCTGTTTTTGCCACACTAGGCTTTCTTTGGCTAATGAGACTCCATAGGACCTTAAAGAGGCTTTTTAATGGGTAAATTTTCTCAAGAAAATCTATTTGTTGCTCAAAGTCAACAAAATCAAGCAAGGATCTCCCTTTTCTCCCCCTTCTCTCTTCTCTCTGCCCCGTCTGCAGAAGAGGAGGGGACAGAGAAGGCCGCCTCGGAAGCAGAGTCTTACCTCGACCTGCCAAAGCAGATTTCCCCAAGAACTACCAGAAAGATCCTGATGCTCCTGTGTGATGAGTCGGTGAGGCCGGCCACGTGGGGCTGCGCTGGAAGGACCCCCGGCCCCTGTGTCCGGTGTGCTGCTGCTGCCCAGGCTGGCCGGGCCGGACGCGGCCTGGATGCAGGAGGCCACAAGCATCGAGCAGCAGAGCTGGGGCCATTCACAGACAGGCCCCGCCTCAGAGCTGCCCCCAGCTGGCAAAGGGGTCCTCCCTTTGTGGGTCAGCAAGGTGTGGGCCAAGTTGGCCCATGGGCTCCAGCTAATTAAAAAAAAAGAGCTGATTCTGCAAGAGAAGGGGCGCCCGTCTCACCTCAGTGAGCCCACCTGCGTGGGCTCAGCTGACGTGGCTTGACTCTGGGAGCACAGTCTGTGATTTCTCGGGGTGTGTTCGGCTCCAGGTATCTCTGCGGCATGTTAGCCAGACCCACGGGATTTTGTGTCAAGGGTGCTGGAGCTGGCTCAGCTGGGAGTTGAGGCGTTCCAGCAATATGACTGGTGCACAAGCCCGTATTTCTGAGATGAGTCCAAGAGCTGCAGCCAGGACTGGCAGCCTCCCATCCCCTAGGGACACTTCTCTTTGGCCAAGAGCTGGCTTTTGCCCCTGAGGGCGGCTCCTGCTGGGAGAGGCCATGGGGCAGGTGCTGCTCTTTCTCACCGGCTTCCTGCCAGTGGCCGCCCCCCCCCGCAGCTCTCCCCCAGGCCTTCCCAGCTCTGAGTGCGGGCGGGCGCCCAGTGTCCCCACCCACCCCCGCCGTCATGTCCCCCCCCACCCCCCATCTCAAAGCCTGCTGCCCTGGTCTCTGGATACTGGAGGGCCAGCCTCTGAGGGAAGCGACTTTGGGCGGGTGAGGATCTGTGACTGGATCAGGTATGGGCTGCTCTGGGGGACTTAGAAGTTTGCCCAGGGGCTGGGGGTGAGGTGAGCCTGTACCCTTCTGAGGTGGGAGGAACTAAAGCCATGATGAGAACTGGCCTTGTGTCCAGGAAGGGCTCATCCCCGGGGCCCTGCTCTGTGGAGTCATCGCTGACAGTTACACAGAGGTAGGCTGCAGACCCGGCACTCATTCCGGAAACCCGTCTCTGACTGGAGATGTCATCTTCCTTCTCAGGGTTTCCTCATAGAGAGCAAGCTGCTGAGTCTTCTCCTTCCCCTGGAGAAGAACGAATGCTATCTGCTGAGGCTGGACGCCGTCTTCTCGGTGGGTCCCGCTGGGCCGAGTCGATGGGGTGGGGGCCTCGTTCTCAGCCGGCCTCCTCTTTTTTTCCAACATTGCTGTGGCCCTGGGAAGAGATATGGGTCTCTGGGCTTCTCTGGGCTCTCTGTCGCCTCCTTCCCTTTCCTCGTTCTCCATGCCACGAATTGGCCACGGATTCTCCCAGCCCTGACCCTTCCTCTACCAGCTTCTCTCTCACGGCCTGGCTCTCAGACTGTAGGTTCTCCCCTACACCCCTGAACTCGGATGTGTGTCCAGCCTCCTCTAGCGTTCTCATACCCACCAGGCCTGTACAGAGCTGTTCGTGACTCTGAGCGTTGTTTCTCTGCTCAGATGTGATCTCATTGAGCTTCCCCGGTGTTGAGTGGCCTCACTCTGGGCCGTGGCAGGTGCTGGGGGGCTCGGGGGACAAGCCAAACCTCCAGCTCTTAGGAGCTGAGTGTCTGTTAACTCTCCCAGCCGGTGGACTTCTTGCTGTGGTGTTTGAGCAATGCTCCTGTTTCTCCCCAGGCCCTTGGAATTGAAAGCGAGGACGACTTATATAAACTGGTGAACTTCTTCCTCAAATACCGAGTTTATCATTCACCCTCCGGTCAGGTAACATGAAGTGCAATAAAAGAGAGAACGTTTGAAATTCTGGAAGCCCCCAGAGGGCATTGCTGCCTTTGTATAATCCTTCCAGAGAAACAGTGCGGGTTTTATGTCAGAGATAGCTAATGTAGTGTTTCCGGTATCATTACTTTTTCTGTTTGCAAGGGAAAGAATGACGGGGGATGGGAGTCTGTTCCTGGGCCCTTCCTCAAAGCCAGGCTTCAGCCCTGGGAGCCCGGTGCCCATCAAGTTCTGAATATTTTGATCCTTACCACTTTCCTGCAAAGCAGGGCCCATCTGTAATACTCATCTTGATTGTAATGCACTATTCTAAAAAAGCCACCATGTTAAAAAAATATTATAAAGTTTTAACTTAAAAATTAAAAACTTGAATTAAAAATATGGTTCGTACTGCTGGCTCCAGGGTGAGTATCCTGATAGGTTTCTAAGAAGAATTGGCAGGGTGAACAAAACGCAGAAGCCATAAAGGGGGGAAAATAGGATGTATTTGACTACGTGAAACAAAACAAAACAAACACAACCCTGTGGAGCAAAAATCACTGAAAGCAAAATTAAGATAAAGATGACAGCTGGGGTGGGGGTGGGGAATGTTTTTAACTCCTACCACAGTTAAGGGCCTATTTCTTTGATATACAAAGAACTCAAATAAACCAATAAAATGACCAACAACTCAATGAAATGGACGAGGGATATGAGCAAAAATCTCCTATAAGAGGCAATATGAGTAACTTCTAAACATATGAGAAGACAACCAGGCTTCTTATAATAAGAGAAGTGAGAATGAAAACTGTTCCAATTTCCATCTGCACCTGTCACGTAGGCAAAACTCTGAGAGTTTGATAGGATCTAGTGACGGCCCGGGCGTGGGAACCAGACATGCTCCTGTCACTGCTTATGAGCCGGTTGTTGTAACCTCTGTGGAGGGCAGTGTCCAGTGTGGATGACAACACCACAAACATGTCCCCAGCAGTTCTTCCTCTAGGATTTTGCTCTGCAGCTCTGTCTCAATACGACGAAAGCACGTGCTTGTTGTAGCTCATGGGTTTCAGCACCACTCGAAATGGGAAAAGATCGCAAACAACCTACAACTCCATCGCGAAGGGATTGATTTCCTCATCCGTGGTGCATCGAGACAGCAGAACGCTATGCACCAGGAACAAAACACAAAACAAAAAATCAAGGAAGTTCTTTACACAGTTTTTTACGTGAAAATATCTCTAAAGTTTATCGGTATGTGAAAAATGCCAAGTGCAGAACTGGGTCTGCCGCAGATTATTATTTGTGTGAAAACAGGAGGGAAGGCGTTGCTTATATAGACAGAGGATTTCTCTGGAAGGAGGGTAAGACCTTGATGACGTTGGTTTGCCTGCGGGTGGTGAACGGAATGGACCACGAGAATGAACTACAAGTAGGAGGAAGACTTTTTTAAATTAAAAAATTAAAAGGTAGTTTGTGATTTTTGATTCAAAAAGATAAATATATATATGTGGTGTCAGCTTTATGAATATCAGTGAAATGAATACCTATGAGTCCCGATTTAGAAATAGGAGGTTATCGCTGTTTTGAAGCCCCCGTGTGCCTCTCCCTGATCCCATCGCGCTTCTCGTGCTCTCTTGCCGCTCACCGTTTCTTCCGTCCTGTAAATGTGTCCCTTTGCATCTTTTCTGTAACCTACTGTAGACTTTTCTCCTTTTTCTGTCTTCAGACACTCATGCTTGCTCTGCACCCCCAGTCCACAGTCACCGTTGCGTGTTTCTCCAGCTCAACCCCTGGCATCTGTCGCCCCCATAGGAACAAACAAGCCTGATGTCGGGACAGGAGCCAGGAGAGGAGATAGACCTCGAGGAACAGAAGGAGGAAAGCCTCGTGGAAGGGGAGCCGGAAGAGAAGGAGGCTCCCCCTTCTCCCAGTCTCATCCACCCCAATGATGTCCTCAAGATCCTGGAGGCCTTTGTCATGGGTCTGAAGAAACCCAAGTACGGTGCTGGAGGGTTTTCCTGAGGCCCAGGAGAGCGGGCTGGAACCCGGGCAGGAAGGAAAAGATGATGGGGGAGGGCTGGAGGAACCCGTGGGCACAAGTGATTTGCATTTCCTCATGCATCATTCATTCAGGGGTCAGTCACGGGGTCTGCTGTGTGTAGGTCACACCTTGTCATCAGGACAATGGCCAGAATGTAACAAGGTGTCACACTGCTCAGAGGAAGCAGTGGCAACCCCCCCATCTGGCTTGTCCGTGAGGGCTTTAGACACCTAGACTGGGTTTTCTGAGGTGGATAAAGTGGGGGAAAGGGCATTTCAGGGTGTCACAGTGTGGGGAAAGGTGTGTTCGAGAATCATGACGGAGAGGTGTGGCTGCTGTCAGGGTGTTCCCTGGGAAGTGTGGTCAGTGGGTGGGGAGCCAGGCCAGATCTTGAATTGATGGGACTGGAGCCAGACCATGGTCTTGAGGAGAGGGGCAGCCATGGGTAGGCCTTTTTTTTTTTTTTTTTTTTTAAGATTTTATTTGTCAGAGAGAGAGAGAGAGATTGAGCACAAACAGGGAGAATGGCAGGCAGAGGGAGAAGCATGGAGTCTGGGATCATGACTTGAGCCGAAGGCTGACGCTTAACCCACTGAACCAGGCACCCCTAGGCTTGCATTGAAAGAACCCTTTGGTGGCAGGGAGGGAGGTGATGTTGGCTACAGGAGAGCAACTGAAGGCTTGTCCCGGTGGAGGTGACGATATCCTGGACCAAGGCTATCCTCGAGGGGAAGCCAAATTTTGAGGGGGGTTTGAGATGCGTTAGTGAAAAAAATGGGCAGGATGGAATGCCAGTGAGGTAAACTGGCTGAGAGAAGGGGGTGGATAGAACGCCAGTGATGCTGTCACAAAGGGGACAGTGGCACCAGGAATCGGGAACGTTGATGATAGTCACATGCCTTTTCTGGGAATCTGCCATAAACCGATAGGCTGGTGTAGGGGAGTGGGTAGGTGGGCGGTGGGAAAGTGAGAGTGTGAGGGGTGGGCGCTGAGGCTGGCACCACGTGGAGGCCCAGGGGTGCCAGGTGGAGACGAGGCCACTGTCACTCTTGACCTTCAGGGACTCTCAGGCACCAGTGAAGATGAAGTATGTGCGAGATAACTCGAAGGACTCGGAGTATTGGGAGGCCCTGACCACGGTTATCCCTGATGCCACGCAGAACCTCTGGGACGCCCTGTACACAGCCCTGGAGAAATACCAGTGAGTGCGCATGTCATTGTGCAGGAAAAGGAGGAGGCCAGGCAGTTGCTGGGGAAGGATCCTGCTTGCCAGGGCCACATTTGCCACGTCCCTGGGTTGGAGAGAAAAAGCTGCCTTTGAGAGAAACCTCCTGCCAAAGGGGCCTGTGGTGTTGGGTGGCTGGCCCCCCGGCCCAGGGGTCCCATTCTGTTCCTGCCCACCTGGTCCGTTCAGGGCAGGAAGGTGGGTGGGTGAGGCTTCTGGGCTCCTTTTCCACCTCTAACCACAACAGAAACCCAGAGATCCCCACCCCTCCTTGGCAGAGGACGGAAGAGGAGTCAATGAGCCTCTAACCTATTTTTCCACCCAAAGCCTCGTCCTGACCCAGAGGGCCAAGCTGCTGCTAGAGAACCGTTCCCTGGAGCAGCAGAACACCGAGCTCCAGATGCTGCTGCAACAGTATCTAGATTCCAAGGTGGGTGGCAGGGACCCTCCAAGGAGGGCAGGCAGGAGGCTGAGGGAGGCCGTGGGACTCCTCTTAGGAGATGAGTTTCTTCCCTCACCAGAGCAAGGGAGCATTGAGATGTGACATAAAATATGAACAGTCATGCCTCAGGTTGGGACAGAATTATCAGCCAATGGAGAGGACATTGCCCCAAGTCTCCTCCAGGTCGTCTGGGCTATAACAGGGCCCCTCTGATGCCACGGTCTTTGGTGCCAGCTGCTTGCTGGACCATTCTCAGAGACAGGGCCAAAGCCCACCATAGTGTCACAGGCCACAGGGCCCTACCTTATGAAATTTCCCCTTTCTCGTACCCCCTCTGTGAAGTCGATAGGGCACAAGTGATTCTCCCAAAAAGGAGAGTCAAAATCAGGAGACTCTGTGACATGCCCAGAGCCCTGGGCCCTTCCCACCTGCCGGCCCAGGTTGTCGGGCCTGGGATATGACGTGGCTAGAAGACGCTCCAGCTGGGACAGATATTCCCTGGTCCCCACTCTTGATCACGCCGGTGACGGTTGGGGCAACTTGCCCGTGGCCAGCGGGAGAAGGAATCTCACCGTCTCTGTTTCAGAGGGTAGAGTCTGTTCGTCACACAGTGGCTGGCTCTGCCACTGGTGCTGGCCAGGACAAGTCTTGACGCACTGGGCTGAGGGCGGGTCCTCTGTCACCAGCTGTGTGTGGGAGAGGTGACTGAGGTGACTGAGGCCACAGCCACAAGCCCGGGAACTGGGAGTGTGGCCCTGCCATGGTTTCAGGCCCCAGGCCACACCTGAACGGAAGCTGTGGTAAGCCTTGGTGTCGTGATGGCTTCTCGGCCGGTGACAGACCTCAGAGGGCTGCGTGGCCCACGCTTTCGTCCGTGCTGCTACCCCAGGAGGGCGGGGAGGAGCAGGGAAGGGCAGGGCTAGACCGGGAGTGGGTTGCACAGGTGAGGGGCGGACGGAGGAGTTGAGAGTGACTCAGAGCAGGAGGCTCAGAAGGTTACCAAAGGTTGTTAGCTGGCGGGAGCAGAAGCCAGACCAGAAGCCGCAGGACTTCTCCTCTGAAGGAAGGCAGCCTGGCGGCTTTCGCTGCCGTTCAGAAGCGCTTGGGGAGGAAATGCTTGCAGACACTTGGAGGCTGAGGAGAGCCCATGGGTGCGAAGGAGGAGGGCCCTGGGAGAAGTGTAATGACCTTTCCGCTTTCGTTTCCAGATAAACTCTGAACTGCAAGTTCCACCAACTCAGGTGCTCCGGGTCCCCACGAAATAGAGCTGGGCCTCCGAAGGCTGCCGTGTCGGGCTGTATGCTGGGGCCGGGGCCGGGCCCAGAGCCGCCGCTGGCACGTTCCCCCCGAGGACCTGCCTGGGACCACTCTGAGTCTCCGGAGCTGCCGGGACAGGGTCCGGTGAACTGAGGCAACGAGTCGGTACCCGTATCCTGCCGTCACCATTAAAGTCTTTAAAAAGTTGTGGCTGAATCTCTTTGAAGAGCTCAGGTCCAGTGACAGGCTAGGCCACCTCAGACTGGGCCAGAACAGGCCGGTCACTGTGGGACTGGGCCTAGGCCAAGGGCATGGGACCCCCTTCTCGCATCTGGGGGCAGTTGGTGTTTCTGACTGGAGGCTGGAACTTCGGGGGCTTTTGTGGGGTCTTTTTTATTTTTTTTAAGTAGGCTCTACGCCCAGTGTGGAGCTTGATGCAGGGCTTGAACTCATGACCCTGAGATGAGACCTGAGCTGAGTTGGAGGCTTATGCAACTGAGCCTCCCACGTGCCCTGGGCTCCTGTAGACTCTTTAGCCTTCACATTGTCCTTGGGCCTGCAGGACCCTTTTGGTGAGCTTTTGGGGTCCCTGGTTCCACCTGGTATAGCGTGAGGCTCTTCCCGTGGGCAGCCTGGGCAGGTGGCCCAGTGCCTTCAGCCCTTGAACCCTGGGCCATGAGACTATCCAGAGAGGAAGAGGTGGAGAGGTCCAGCTGGTGCTGAGTCTGCCAGCGTCAGAGGGCTCACCGACCCTGTGCCCCTATTCTGGTCCCCCCGCTTTGCCCAGTGCTGGTCAGCTCAGTGTTTAATTCCTTTTATTAAGAGACAAACCACCACTCAAGAAAGGAACAACAGCCAACAGAAATCCAGCTCTCACTGCAAGCACCACCTCCTAGCCTGGCCTCCACGAGCGCCGGGCAGGGCGGGTGGGCACGGGGTGGGGTACCGGGGTTCACCCTCGCTGCGCCTCATCTAGGCTTCTGAGCACTGGACTGTGCAGAGGAAGCTCTGGGAAGTGATCGAAACCCACAGGCAGGGCAGGGTGTGGCTCGTGAACCCACCACGGCAGCTCCCTGGGCAGCAGGAGGAGCCACTCCGGAGGGCCACAGGGCGGAAGCAGCCGCCTCCACCCCCTTGGCTGGACGGGTCTGGCCCACGAGTGCAGAACAGAGAGGGGTGGTGTGGCCTCGCTCACAGGATGCTCTGGGGGAGGGAGGGTGGTGCTTTTTGCTTATTCATTGTTTTCATAGCTGGGGGCACTGGCTAATTCTCAGTCAATTCCATTAAAGCTTTATTCCTCCCCTGGAAGGCCTGGGGGAAGGTCGGGGGTGGCCATAGGGAGCCAAGGGTGCTTCAGCCAAGGAGGGACAGGACCCCACTCCCGCCCACCCCACAGGCGGGGACCAGATGGGTGGCCCAGGGCAAGCAGCAGGCCTTGGGGGGGAGGTGGGATGATGAGAGGGGCAGGGTCACCAGCCCAGCAGCCGGCTTCTGGGACCTGAGGCCACAGGGGTGGACACTGGGCTCCCCAGGATGAGGAGGGGCAGAGGCTCGGCCCGGGAGAGGAGTGGCCAGGCAGGAGTGGCCACCTGGCCGAGGGCTTCACGCCCCGAGGAGCTTCTTGACCATGTAGCCGGGGAGGCTGTAGAGGAAGAGCGCCAGCATGAGCAGCCCCAGCAGGGCCAGCACTATCTTGATGATGAGCCACTTGTAGCGTGTGCAGATGAGGTACTTGATGGACTTGAGGGGGTTGAGGAACCAGACGAAGGCGGTGTCAGGCCGGCTAGGGGTGGCGGGGGACAGGTCGTCAGGCAGTGGGTCTGCCCGGGGACACCCGGTGCCCTCAGTGCTTCTGGACCCCCACAGGCCCTGTCCCAGCCCTGGCCCCGAAAGCAGTGACTGGAGTCAGGGTTCACGCCCTTTCTAAGTACCAGTTTCGCTGCTTACATGCTGGCGGTGGGGGGGGGGGCGTTCTCTGTGGGATCCCCTGGCATCTGGGCCCCTCCCAAGGCTGAGAGACTTTCCGGCAGTCCCAGCTGTCAACCTTCTCCCCCCACCCCTGACACTCGCTCAGTAGGGAAGGGGCCGCCACCAGGGCTGCTCCCTGTCTGAGCTCCGGGGCTGCCCCGCATGGTCTCTGGGAAACCAGCGTGTCTCAGCCTCACCCCCTTTCTGGGGAACATGAGCATCTGTCCCCACTGGGCCACTGGGCTCTGAGGAGCCCCCGTGGGACGCCTACCACTCGTTTCCCCACCTCTCCCCCGGCCTCCCGGCCAAGAGGGCCGGCTAAACTTTCCCTTCTGCAGTCGGTGTTACGACACAGTAGGTTTTACAGGAGATGAGATAGAATATTCAAGTATTGAATAAGCCTTTTCAAACTCCTGTCCCAGTGACCCCCTGAGGACGCAGACCACGCTCTTCAGAGCCTTCGGGGCAGAGTGGGGCTCCGGTGCAGGGCACCTGGTTTCCTGGCCCCTGTCTGAGCCTCAGTTTCCTTATTTGCACAGCAGGGTTAAACTCGGACCCTGCCTCTGGGGCTGGCAAAGGGCGGGAGAGACACTGCACACGTAGGGCTAGGTGGCTAAGCTGAGGGGCCGGGGTGGAGAGCCTTCCTGGGCAGCACGGCCTTTTTCCTTAGGCTCTGGGTGGGGAGGTCCGAGCTGGTGGGAACTAGTGAGGCCTTGCTGGCTAATTCTGGCCAAACCTTTCCCTGTCCCCCATCCACATGCCAACTGCCTTCTGCCAGTGGCACCAGGTTAGAGGCTGGCTGGTTGTCACCACAACAGGAAGCAGTGTCCTGCCCAGAACACCAAGCTGGCCATTTGAAAACTGGGCTGGGTCTTAGCTCTAATCTGCTCGGTGACCTTAGGCAAGTTGTTGGGCCTCTCTGGCCTAATACGCACTCATAGACAGCAGTCATTTTGGTTCCGAGAGCCTATGGGACCGTGGGACGGCTTGGAAGTTGCCCTGTGTGTGTGTGCGCGTGTGTGTGCGTGTGTTTGTGTACGTGTGCCACGCACTGCGGAGCTCGGCAGCCCGGACTCCAGAGAAAGAAGCGAGGGGTACCAGAGCCAGCAGGACGTCAGGCTCAGGCCCCAGAGCCTTCTCAGCCAAGCAACCTGGCTCCAGGTAGAGGAAGAGGGCGAGGAGGGGGAGCAGCAGCTTGAGCTGCAGCAGTTGGAGGCCCAGCCCGCGGTGTGTGCGCCCCAGGACAGGCGCCCCAGGACTGAGCCGGCAGACTTGCGAGGGTTCAAGAATCCTGAAGCGCAGGTCTGGGCAAAGGCTCAGGCTGTGGCTGGGCCTCGCTACGGGGGGGTGGGGGGTTTGCCCCTGAGCTGAGTGTGGGCACTTCTGGGGGCCTCCCTGCCATCAGGGCTGCTGGGGACCTCACACCCCAGCGCTGCAGCTGCTAGCTTCTGGCAAAAACTAGGAAGAGCATTTTACTCTGTGAAATGGGGCCTTCTCTGGGAGAGGTGCCGCTTTCCTGCAAAGGTAGCCTGTGCTTTGGTTCAGAGGGAGAGGTGGATTGTGGGGAGGCGGGGAAGCAGAAAGGGGAGCCCAGAGAGGGATAGAGAGCACAGAGGTGCTTGCTTAGCAGGAGCAAGAAGTCAAGGTTCCAGCACCTCCTTCCTATTCCTGTGGCCCCAAGGACCAGCGTTGGGGGTGGAGGAGCAGGCAGTGCACTCACTTGGGTTTCTCTAGGGGGTCAGGTTCATTGCGGGCCAGGCCCACAGGATTCTTCTCTGCCTCCTCGGCTGTCAGCAGATGCAACTCTGCCTCCACCTTGCCCTGCAGAAAGGAACAGAAGGATCCCAGTGCCCAGGAGGGGTGCTGGGCCCTCAGCACCCTAGCCAGGCCCAGCCCGGCCCTCTGCCCAAGCCGCAGTGGTCCTCACCGTGAGCTCGAACTCGTCATTCTCATTGCGGGCCAGGAGGGGCCACCAGCCTTTGACGCGCTTCTGCTTGAAGATGGAAACCAGGGGCACGTCCACCTCCCCCGTGGCCATCTCCATGGTGCACTGCTTGGCCGTCTTCGCGCCCCGGGGAAACCGGTTCAGGTCCAGCTCGATGGCCCCTACGGCAGCCTCAGAGTCAGCTCTGATGGGCCGGGTTGGGTTGACCCTCCCCAGGGTGGGTTCCCCCTACCTCAGCCTCCCCCTCCCCACCCGCTCCGTTCCCCAGCCCTGCACCCAGGAAGTCATCCGCGGAGAAGTGGTCGGCGTCCCAGATCTGCAGGGTGAGCCTTGCGGGGATCTTGTACTCTGTCTCATCCCAGGAGAACATGGACTCCTTCTTGGAGATGACGATCTTTTCCTCAGCAGCCAGGTAGTCGAAGGGGAACAGGTAGCGCCAGTTGAAGTTGCCCTCGCCAGTGAGGGAGTGATAGTGGACATCTGTGTCCTGCTTGTCCTCCTGCTGGCCCTTCAGCCACCTGCCCGGTGTCATCGGCTTCAGACCTGTGGCCGCCCGCAGGGAGCCCCCTCCCTCTTCTCCTGCCTCCCAGGAAGATGGGCTCACCCAGCCCAGCGTGCCTCCCAACCTACCTCTGCCGCCCCAGCCAGGGACCCTCTCACCCACCCCCGCACAAAAATGTCACTGGACTTCTCCCCAGTGAAGAAGTCGTCGTCCTCCAGGACCACCTCATCTGTGTTCCACACGATGACCCGGAGCTCGTACCTGGGCAGGGGAGAGGCTGGCTTGCAGTCCGGGGCTGCCGGCTGCCCCAGGGTCTTGGATGTAGATGGGGCAGGTAACCGAGGGGAGTTCTGGGGACTCGGGGTGAGCATGGGTCTGGGCCAGGTTGGGGTGGAGAGAGCTGATTCAGGGAAGGGGGTGAGGAGGGGGAGTGGAGAGGACAGGGGGATGGTGGGGCCCTGGATGACGGAGAGAGGGTCACCAGCCAGCATGGCTGCTGTGAAGAGACCTCTAGGGGAAGCCTGTCTGGCCGGCCCGCTGGGCCAAGAGCACTTTGGCGCACACTCCTGGACAGAGGCTGGCCCGGGGCCAGGAGGGGCAGGGGCCGCTGCTGGGCTCCTGAGCATGATCCCGGTCTTCAGAGGCCAGAAGACATCCAGTTCTAACAC